AAACTGGTATATATATATATATATATCTAAAACAAAGAATTGGTCAAGCTAAATATTTGGCATACACTCAAACCTCTACTTAACAATCATTCATTATAACAACATTTTACTGTAACAACCTAATTTTCTTTAGAACTAATTTTTTATGTTATTTTTTTGTCTATATAACATTCTACTTATAACAGTGTAGACATTTAATATAAAAGTACAATATTCATAAAATTACATATCTATGATAATCTTACTCAAATATTAATCGAGTAATAATATTTTGTAAAAGATATATTACGTATAAAGATAAAATATTGAAATATTTATGGCAATCGTTATTAGTGTCATGCACATAATAAAATTCAAGTATGAATATTTAAGAGAAAAATTGTATTTAAATGACGTCCATTATTTAAGGTCATAACCTCAAGAGGAAGTGTTGAAGTGTGTGACCATCTCATCTAAAAGCTTAAGCTGTTAGAGAGAACATACTTTTATTATTTGATTATATTCTCAACACGCCCCCTCATGTGCAGGCCTAATTTTTTTTTCATGGGCCAAGCACGTGGAAATTCTTTTTTGATTTGGGTGGCGGTGAGATTCGATCTCAGGACCTTTGCCTGCTCTGATACCATGTTAAAGTGTATGACCATCTCATCTAAAATCTTAAGATATTATAGAGAGCACACTTTTATTATTTGATTATATTCTCAACAGAAAGACTATTGGTGACCTTTTTGATACTGCTATTTTTTTCTTTTTTGTTGGTTCAATTTGTTTACAAGATTGAGTAAAGAAAAAAATACTACTACTAAAGAAACGTCACTTTAAATTTTGAATGCTTTTGAAATGTTTCAATGATATCTGGTCATTTTGTTCTGAAAAAAATAATTAAATCTATGATAATCTGTATTAATCATTTAAAAGAACTTGTTCAATGTTCTTTGAATTATAATTATTTACTAAAAAGCTTTAATTTAGTAATATTAATTCTATTTTACAACATCATATACTATATGATATGATACACGTGCAACGCACGTGCCGTGAAACTAGTATATATATATATATGTCGTATTAAATTTGTGTAAAAATATAACAGAAAATTAATTTAAATTAAAAATAATCTTAATTAATACAACCACTATATTAGATTTATTCAAAGTATGTACTGAATATTTTAAATTTGAATTTGAATTGTATCAGAATATAAATGAATGTGAATGAGAGATTACTAATTTGAATTTTTATCCGCTAAAGCATATTATGTGTGATTATAATTATCTTAAAATTCAAATTAAAAAAATTAAAAATTGTTAAAGCAGATAATGTAGATAAATTGTTAAATTACAATATATTATATTAACTACAAAGTGAAAGATATATGATATATTTATTATATCGTCAAAAAATTTAGATTACAGAAAAGTTCCTATTTTCCAATGCTACAAAGTACAAAGTAAAGAGCATTAAAATTTTACATTTATTTTTTCAACTTCGATTTTTGATTTCTAATTCTCTAATGACTTTTACCATATATATGGATAAATTTTAAACAACAACAACAAACACTTGTTATTGTTTTTAAATTCAAAAACTTACTGATTATAATATTAATTTAGATAAATATAAATATAGAAAATAAAGAAAAGGGAAGAGCAAAAAACTACTATTTAGCCACTAAAAAAAAGGTGCTTTCCAGGATAAGATTAGTTATTTATTTTTTAACATGCAAATTCATATTTCAAATTAATTATTTAAACAATTTTGATAATGTTTTATATAATTAGTAGAAACAAAATAACAATATGTCCTTGTTTCTCTAGCTACACAATCCTAAATTATAGCATCACTAGGAGACTTGGCCGCGCTTCGCGCGGTTAAAAAAGATCTCTTTAGATTTACAAACTAATCTTTTGCTATTTCAAAAAATTAAAAGTATTTTAAAATAATTATATAATCTTCAAATTCAAATAAATTAGATTTTAATTTAATTTTAATTTGTTTAACCATTCATTACCTAAAACTTAGTTGTTAGAAACTAAAGTTCATCCAAAAAAAAAAAAGATTCCCTTAAATTTTCAACATCATTATTTGTGTTCTGGTGTAGTGACATTCTTTTGCTTAATTAAAAAAAAATTATATCTTAAAAAGAAAAGTATTTTTCACATAATCATGATATAGTAATAATGGTGTTCAATAGTTTCATTAAATTTCTACGATAGTACATTTTATAATTTTGAGAAAGTTGTATAAATATTTATTCGTTACAAATGCTTAGAGGTTTTGCCTATTTCAAGTTCTTACATAATTCAAATAAATTCTTATATTTAACTTCTTCTTTTTTTTTATAAAAAGTGATAATATTTACAATATAAATATAAACGCTAAAAATTTACAGTTTAACAAAAAATATGCATACTTTTTTTATTTGTAAGTAAACTAAAGTACACATATTTGTTAGCCTCCTATGAAAGCTTAACAATAATATTTGAGACTTTATTCTTACAATAAGATGTACGAGCAGAAATGAAAAAGAGGTTATTCAAAAATAAATCAAAACTAATTTATGGCAACAAATTAATTAAAAAATTACAGTTTCTATATTACAACGTTAGTTAATTAAACTTTAAAAACACTTCTTGAAGTTCAAATAATCTGCATATTATTCGGAGATCTGCAAGAACAAAAAGAAAAAGAATGAAGAATTTGAAGTTAGCTATAAGATAATATATGTTGAATTTTCTGAAGATACAACAATAATATGTTATGTTGAATTTTGTGGATATATAACGATTTAAGAAGACTCTTAACAGTAGAAGACAACTTATGATCACCACATACTCATTTTTTTAGCACCATCCAGGAACTAATTCATCATTGCATATTCTTCTAGTTTAGTATATTCGTGGTATACATAAATTTGTATGTAAGAATTCATTAAAATTATAATAAATTATGAAAGCGAACTCATGACTTAAAAATATAACAAATTAGTTCTAAATCATTAAACGTTAAATATATAATATTTAAATCATGGCTCCGGCTTAATATCATGATATATATACCACTTGCTTTCACCCCACACTCATAAAAAAATAAAATTGGATCTTCAAAAATACAACCTGAAAAAACATCAAAAGTTAGTACTAAAAACTTTAAATATTAAATACATAAAATTTAAATTTTGAATTCACCTATATCTCTTCATAACACACAACACTTGCTTTCACCACACAAAAACCCAAAAAAAAAATTACCCACGCTATTGTTTTCAATCTATATGAAAAGTATTGAAATTTTCTTGATCCTCCTTTGTAAATCATAAAGAATCATTCTAATTTTATAATTACGATAATCAATAAAAAAAGAAGTCATAAGATAAAAGTCATTTAGTATTAGCTGATAATGAAAAAACTAAAAAATCATACAAATAAGACTAACAAAGAAAAACCTACATAAAAAACGACCTTGATAGATTGAGAGGGATTATATAAATCACACAAGCCTCAATAAAAACTCCAATAAAAAAATCCAAATCCTTTCTTTTTATTTTTGAGAATTCATTTTTCTTTACCATTAAATATTTTCTTCCACAATCCACAAAATCCCGTGCACTTTTAGTAATGGACTTCTATAAAGTGCAGTAAAAAAGGATGTTCAAAGTGCAGTCATTGACTTATTAATTTAGGAGTTATAAATTGTCAAGAGTTGTGTGGATAATGAAAATAAAACAATTAAACTTTTATTTTAAAGAAAATAAATAAATGAAAAAGTAATAATTGACACATTCATTCATTTCTATATAACAATAAAATGAATAAAAAGATACTTTTTAATTACAAATAAAATTATGATAAAAAAATCATTCTTAAGATCCTACAATATATTAATATTTACATTTTTTTAAAAAATATTAATTAAAAAAAGGTACCTGATAAATGCCAATGATTCACATCAAACATGAGACAATTGATAAAAATAAAATAAAAATTTCATGATATCTATAGCTCAAGATTTATAGGAGAAGATGAAAAAGTGAGGAGTTATATAAATTAATTTTCAGAAGTTAATGAAGGGACGTGGGGAGAGGAAAGGTTGATACACGGTTACAACTTGCAATTAAAATTTGCATTTACATGTGTGAAAGAGTTGACTAAATGTATAGGAGTTCCCTGGTGAATTAGTTAACTCTAGTTAAGTTTACAGGATTAGTTACATTATGCATTACATTGTTAGTAATGCAAATTACATGATTAGTTGTATTGTTAGTTACAATCAGTTAGAAGTAGTTTGTTAGCAGAGTCAGTTACAGGATTGTATAAATACATGTATTGAGCATTGTGAATAGCTAATGAAGAAAATTTTCTCTCTCTCTTCAACTTGTTTTCATCTTCTTCAGAATTCTGGAATTATGCACAGAATTCATAAATTCATCATGGTATTAGAGCAGGGCCCGTCTCACCCGATATTGGGACCCCCAAAATCAAAATTGCCCACGCACCAGATGCTAAGCATTGGGCGTGAGGTGGGGTGTTAAAGAAATGACAAAAGTCCCACATCGGTGGTTTATGAGATGAGTGGACTCCTTATAAGGCTTGGGCAATCCTCCTCCCTTTGAGCTAGCTTTTGGGGTGTGAGTTAGGCTCAAACCTAATTTAACAAGTCTCACCCGATATTGGGACCCCCAAAATCAAAATTGCCCACGCACCAGATGCTAAGCATTGGGCGTGAGGTGGGGTGTTAAAGAAATGACAAAAGTCCCACATCGGTGGTTTATGAGATGAGTGGACTCCTTATAAGGCTTGGGCAATCCTCCTCCCTTTGAGCTAGCTTTTGGGGTGTGAGTTAGGCCCAAACCTAATTTATCATGGTATCAGAGCCATTCAAGCTTGCAATGAGAGATTTCCTTATCCAACAGTGACATTTTTTAGTGTTCTTCAACTCAATTCAGCTCAGTATCGAGCAATTTCTCTATTTTCTTTAGCTGATTTTTTTTTTGAACTTTGATGGGCACCTCTGGAGCTGCTGCAGAGCATCAACTGGGCACTACCATGGCGGTTGCTACCATTGATCACCTACATCCTCTATACATGTATCATTTTGACGCACCTGGATCTCTGAGTGTTGGCATCATGCTAAATGGATCTGACAATTACACCTTGTGGAGCAAGGCAATGCAGCTTGCTTTGCTTGGAAAGAATAAGGTTGGATTTGTTGATGGAACTGTCAAGCGATCACAATTCACAGGAGATTTGACGAGATTGTGGGATCGATGCAACGCGATTGTAGTTTCATGGATTCTCTGCAATGTAAGTAAGGATCTGCATAGTGGAGTACTTTTCTGTTCTGATGCACATCTGATCTGGGAAGATTTGAAAGAAAGATTTAACAAAGTTAACAGCTCACAAATTTTTCAATTACATAAAGAACTTTTCACTCTAGTTCAAGGTGTTGCTTCTGTCTCCATATACTATTCTAGGCTTAAGGATCTTTGGGATGAATACGACTCTATAATGCCTCCACCTTCCTGCAACTGTCCTAAGTCTAGAGATTTCTATGATCATTTACAACACCAACGCATGCTACAATTTCTCATGGGGTTAAATGATAACTATAGCCAGGCTAGGAGTCAAATTCTCCTAATGCCCCATCTTCCTAGCATCAATCATGCTTATGCCATGATTAATCAGGATGAGAGTCAACAGTTAGTAGCAGGATCAAGTAGATTGATACCTGAAAACTTGACTCCTACTGCAATGTTCACTGCCAAACCTGCTTCAAGTCCTCAAAGGCCTAAGAAACCTTATAATCCTAATGTTGTCTGCGATTTTTGCCATATGAAAGGTCATCTGCGTATTGACTGTCTTAAGCTGTTGAACTGTGATTTTTGTCATAAGACTGGTCACCTTAAGCTAAATTGTTATAAGTTGAATAGTTATCCTCCACACTATAAAGGCAAAAGAGAAGTTGTTGTGGCTGGAAACTCAATGTATGATGTAGGGTCAGTACATAGGCAGGACTCAATAACAATGACACCTTATCAACAATGTCCACCTCTTTCACCTTGCTACATACCACCTCCACAACCCCCAGGTTCAATGTTGCCCATGTTCACCCCTGCACAACATCAACAATTACTTCACATGCTGAATCAGTCATCCATAAATGACACACAGGGGACTGCTAATATGGCCGGTAATCCATCTTTATCTCAGCCTGTTTTGATAGATTGGATAGTGGATACTGGTGCCTCCCACCACATGATTGGTAATCCTCATTTGTTACATCATAAAGGCCTGTTAGATAATACAAGCCATGTCCAATTGTCCACTGGTACCTCTGCCAAAGTCTCACACATTGGGGACTGCCACATTGGAGGAGGTGATATTCTTAAAAATGTTTTATGTATACCAGCATTCAAGTTCAATCTTATGTCAGTATCACAGGTGACAAAAGACTTGAATTGCTGTGTCACTTTTTACCCAAAATGTTGTGTTTTTCAGGACCTCTCATTTGGGAAGGTGAGGATGATTGGTAAGGAGAGGAATGGGCTGTACACATTATGTTTCCAAATGGAAGTCAAAGATAAAGTTCCACGAGGATGTTTAGCAGTCACACAAGAAGCTGATGGCAGTGTGTGGCATAAAAGGTTCTGTCATGTTCCCATGAATGTACTTAGGAAGATTCCTACTTTTCATTCTCTTGGTGACAAGTTTGCATTACATAATTGTGAAGTCTGTCCACTAGCTAGACAGACTAGGTTGCCTTTTACACATAGTACTAGCAAATCTTCATGTATTTTCCAATTACTACACATGGATGTTTGGGGTCCTATAAAGTGGAAACTTTTGATGGAATGAGGTATTTCTTGACTATTGTAGATGATTACTCTAGATGGACATGGATCTTTTTAATGAGGCTCAAATCCGATGTTGTTGGTTTGTTGAAACAATTTTTTGTTGATACTGAAACACAGTTTGCTATTTAAGATCAAGAGGGTCAGGTCTGACAATGGATTTGAGTTTTTTAACACCAATTGTAATGCTTTGTTCAAACTTTATGGAGTTGTGCATGAAAGTTCTTGTCCATACACACCACAACAAAATGGTGTGGTGGAAAGGAAACATAGACACATTCTTGAAATTGCAAGGGCAATCAAATTTCAGGCTAGTTTTCCAGACAAGTTTTGGGGATTTTGCATTCATGCAGCAGTATATGTACTAAACAGGATACCTTCCACTGTTCTAGCAGATCTATCACCATTTGAAAAGTTGTTTGAAAAACCACCATCATTTGAGCACATGAGAACTATAGGTTGTTTGTGTTTTGCCACAAATCTTCCTAAACATGATAAGTTTGGTCCAAAGGCTGTGAGAGCTGTGTTTATGGGTTATGGAACTACTCAAAAGGGCTATAGGTTATATGATTTAGAGAACAAGAGTTTCTTTATCAGCAGGGATGTGGTGTTCATGGAGGATGTCTTTCCATTCAAAGATACTGTAACTGATCAACAACATAGTTTGCCTACTCACAAATAATTTGCCTTTGATGATTTAGTTACAGCTTCTATTGTGCCAGTACCTCCTTCTCAATCTACTAGGATTGTGCCAGAGGAAATTGTCCAACTACAGGTTGATGAAGTTGCAACTTCTGTTGCACCAGTTGATGTTATTCCTGCAACCCCAGTGAGAAAATCTACTAGAGGTGTCAGACCTCCTATTTGGCATAAGGACTATGTCACAAAAGCTAGCACACGTGGATGTATTTACCCCATTGCTTCAGTTGTGAATTACACTAATTTGTCTCCTCACTACCAGAGTTTTGTTTCTAAATTCTCTACAGATACTGAACCTACCAGTTACACAGAGGCATCCAAAGATACAAAGTGGATAAAAGCTATGAAATGTGAGATTAAAGCTTTGGAAGAGAACAAGACATGGGCGGTGGTAGAACTACCAAAAGGAAAGAAAGCTATCGGGTGCAAGTGGGTTTATAAAATCAAATACAATGCAGATGGTACTATAGAAAGGTTCAAAGCCCGATTAGTTGCAAAAGGATATAATTAGAAGGAGGGTTTTGACTATCAAGAGACTTTCTCACCTGTGGTAAAAATGGCTACTGTATGGTCAGTGATTTCTCTTGCAGCTGCTAATCATTGGCCCATACACCAAATGGATGTGTACAATGCCTTCTTGCAAGGAGATTTGTATGAGGAAGTGTATATGGATTTGACTGATGGTTTTAATAACAGACTTGGGAATAATCAAGCTTGCAGACTATTGAAATCACTATATGGGCTTAAACAAGCTTCTAGGCAATGGAATATTAAACTTACTACTACATTGGTTGCTTCAGGTTTTCACCAGAGTACCAGAGACTATTCTCTGTTCACTAAGAAGAGTGATGGTAAACTTGTCATAGTTCTCATATATGTCGATGACTTACTACTAACTGGAAATGATTCTATCATGATGCATGAGACTAAAGAAGCATTACAGGCTGCATTCAAGATTAAAGACCTGGGAGAACTTAGATATTTTCTTGGTCTAGAATTTGCTCGAAGTAAGGAGGGCATTTTGATACATCAGAGGAAATATGCTTTGGAACTCATAGCAGACTTGGGGTTAGCAGGAGCTAAATCAGTCTCCACACCAATGGAACTGAACCAAAAACTCACTACCACTCAGTTTGACACTAACATACCATCTGGGAAGCAGGATCCTTCACTAGCAGACCCTACCAATTATCAGAGATTGATTGGAAGGTTGTTGTATCTCACCACCACTAGACCTGATATCTCATTTACAGTTCAATGTTTGAGTCAGTTTATGCACTCACCAAAGAAGTCACATATGGATGCTGCAGTTAGGCTGGTCAGATACCTGAAGTCAGCACCAGGGATGGGAATTCTGATGTCATCTCATGGAGGTAATAAACTGAAAGTCTTCTGTGATGCTGACTGGGGTGCATGCATTAACAGTAGAAGATCAATCACAGGTTATCTAGTTCAGTAAGGAGGTTCCCCTATATCATGGAAGTCAAAGAAACAACTCACAATCTCTAGGAGCTCAGCTGAAGCTGAGTATAGAGCTATGGCTTCAACTGTCGCTGAGATAGTTTGGGTTGTTGGCTTATTTCAAGAACTTGGTGTTAGTATTTCACAACCTGTGTCTCTCTATTCTGACAGCACTTCAGCTCTTCAGATTGCTGCTAACCCCGTGTTCCATGAAAGAACAAAACACATTGACATTGATTGTCATTTTATCAGGGAAAAGATACAGGATGGGCTGCTTGTCACTACATATATTCCTTCTGCAGATCAGCCTGCAGACATTCTCACAAAATCACTTGGTGTCCACTCTCATTCTCATCTCATGTCCAAGCTAGGAATGAAGAACATCTTCATAGCTCCTAGCTTGAAGGAGGGTGTGAAAGAGTTAGACTAAATGTATAGGAGTTCCCTGGTGAATTAGTTAACTCTAGTTAAGTTTACAGGATTAGTTACATTATGCATTACATTGTTAGTAATGCAAATTACATGATTAGTTGTATTGTTAGTTACAATCAGTTAGAAGTAGTTTGTTAGCAGAGTCGGTTACAAGATTGTATAAATACATGTATTGAGTATTGTGAATAGCTAATGAAGAAAATTTTCTCTCTCTCTTCAACTTGTTTCCATCTTCTCTAGAATTCTGGAATTATGCACAAAATTCATAAATTCATCAACATGGAAATGAGACTGTTGCAATAAAAATTTGGAAAAGTATCTTCCTCTTTACAATTAATTAGAATCTATTAATTATTACAGCCTTAATTAAAATCTATTTACATGGAAAAATAGAGGGAAAAAAAACAAAAATAGATAAGTAGATTTCCTGATCATAGAGGCATGCCACATAAGCTGATTGAAGATCCTCCTTTATATATAGAGAAAATGGCTAAATGACCCCCCAATCTATAACCGGATTTTCAACTACACACTTATACTTCACGGGGGTCCTATTACCCCCCTGAGCTATTTTAAAGTGGAATTATTTCCTCCCTGAAATGTCATTACCGGGCATCTGTCTTGTGGTGAAATACACGCACGTGACATGTGTATTTCACCATTTAATGATTATTTTTAAAAAAAAGTTCTCCTCCTTCCTCTTTCTTTCTTCCCCAATCATTTCTTCAACCCTAGCTATACTAAACACCATTTTTTACCTCAATAAATCTCTATATCTCTAACATTTTATAAAAACAAAAATTCAACTCACCTTTTCATCTACTCCGAATCTCTAGAGTCTAGAAGATAGTGGTCCTAATTAATCAAATCTTGCATCTAATTCAACAATTTTTCCACATTTTTTACATTTCGTTCGATTTTCTTCCTTAGACAATTTCAGATACACATTAAATGGGTCATGAACATTCGAGATAAGATTCATCCCTAGAAGATTCCGCCGACAACTCAAAATAGTCCCGGATGAGAAGATCAATTTGTAACACCAATTTGAGAAACCTCTCTCTCTTGCCCATTCTTTATTATTTCTCCCTCTAAATTTTCATGATTAATTTATAATTTGAGTTTTTGATTTTGATTCTTCATGGATTTTAGGAGAACATGTAGGATCCTTCTTATAAAATGTAGAAGAAATTGTTTTGTTTTAGTTTCTTTTATTAAGTTTGAAAATATTTTTTAAATATACAATTACTTCACTTTGATTTAGTTACTCTTGAATCTATCACTTTAAAAAATTTAATTTTTTAGATATATTCTAAATAAGTTTATTGAAAAATTATTTATTCATTAAATGCATTTGTTGTTGATAATTTTTATTCCAAACATCCATTGAAAAAGCTTCAACAATGATAATGATGACAAATGTATAATTGTATAGATAAATAAGAAGAAAGAAAGAGAAAGAAAAAAGAAAATTAGAAAAAAATGGAAATTAATAAAATAGGCAACTCACTCTCTCAAAGAGAGTGAAATACACTCTCTATGCCAACTCAACACTTAAGGGGTTATTTATTCTATTTTAAAGTAGTTCAGGGGGGTAATAGGACTCCCGTAGAGAATATGTGTGTAGTTGGAAATCCAGTAATAGATTGGGGGGTCATTTGGCCATTTTCTCTTTTATATATATATATATATATATATATTACTATATAA